AAGGAGGCTGTGCCAGGGACAAGGTCCCACGGGAAGGAGGCTGTGCCAGGGACAAGGTCAGCTTCTGGGAGTGGGGACAGGGAGAGCGGCGAGGGTAAGGAGAGCAAGACGCACCGGCTTTGGAGAGACACAGCAGGGGAGCACTGAGGAGGAAAAGACAGAGGCAGCCAGGGAGGTGAGGTCAGGAGGTGGCCATGGCGCCCTCTCATGCTGGCCTCACGCCCACAGCCTACAAGGAGAAGATGAAGGAGTTGTCAGTGCTGTCGCTCATCTGCTCCTGTTTCTACTCACAGCCGCACCCCAACACCATCTACCAGTATGGGGGTGAGTGTGTCCCAGGCAGCTGCCAGGTCCTGCTTGGTCAGTGCCTGCCTCCTCCTTTACTTGCGCCCTGGTCCCATAGCCTCTCTGACCACCCCCCTCAGCTCAGCTGGCTTCTGGAGAGGGAGTCTCCGATGGGAGGAAGCCTTGGGTGCTCAGGCCCGGGGGTCCCACATGAGCAGCCGTGCTCCCTCCCTCAGCCCTTGATCTGGATGTGTACTGGGGACATGGCCCCTCAGAGTCCTGAAGCCCAATCTGGTTTTGCAGACATGGAGGTGAAGCAGCTGGACAAGAGGGCCTCTGGCCAGAGCTTCGAGGTCATCCTCAAGTCCCCTTCTGACCTGTCCCCCGAGAGCCCAGTGCTCTCCTCTCCCCCCAAGAGGAAGGACACCTCCCTGGAGGAACTGCAGAAGCGGCTGGAGGCAGCTGAGGAGCGAAGGAAGGTGAGGAACCCACCCCTGCCCCCAGATCCTGACGAAGGTGGCCAGAAGGCCTCATTGGGCACAGACAGGGTCCCCAAGGCACAGGGTGCTCCGAGCCCCTGCTTGGCTGTTGGCCTGGAGTGGAGAGGGTCTCATGGCTCCCTGAATCTCCTCTTGGGAGATCAGAATAGGACAGGGAGGTGAAGGGTTCCCCAATGGCAGCCAGCTGGAGAGGCACAGGAACCAGAGACTGTGGGAGGGGGTGTCCTTGGCCATGGCCAGGAGGGGGCCCTGGGACATGAGTCTGGGCTGGCATCCTTCTCCAGGGTAGAGAAGTGAGTGAGAAGAAAGGGACTCCCATATGTTGGGGGCTGCAAGCCCACACCTGCTGGGAGCTCAGGGGGCCCCTGGGAGAAGGGGGGCATGCGCTCCAGGCTTCCTCCTTGTTCCTTCCCCCCACACCAGCCCCCCACTGAAACACACACAAAAGGAGTACTCTCAGGAGTGCGGTCCTGATGCCCAAGCCCATTGGGCAAGGGCACTGGCTCCAAATCCCTTATAGCATGTCCCAGTGAAACCTGGGGACCCAGGCCTCCTAGGATTAACTAGCAGTGAGTGGCACGTGGGTGGGCCCAGCAGCCTCGTGAAGGAGCTGAGAGCCCTTGCGTCTCTGACCCTCACCTCTCCTCCAGGCCTCCAGGCAGCCCCTCCCCCACTAGGGCTGGACAGGGCCGCAGCACCCGCAGTTCCAGTCTCCTCGCTCCAACTAGTCCCTTCTCCGGCAGCCCTGGGGACCCTTACACAGTCCCCCGCACCTCAGGGAATTCAGAACCCAGTGCATATCAAGCACCTACTTTGAGCTCAGCGGGCAGACGTTTGAGGAGGAGATGGTGCAGGTTCCATGACAGCCCATAAGTTTTGAATTTTTTCTGCTCCTCCAACATTCCCTGAGTGCACCACGGGCTTTGGAGGCGGTAGCGAGCGGGACAGAGCCTGTCTTGCTGCGTGGGCGCCCTCAGCCTAGCAGGAGGGACAGCTCCACGGGCTGACGACGGGCAGAAAGGGTGAGCAATTTCCGGTTTGTCTGGGGCTGGGGGTTCTCCTGGCACGCGGACCTTGCGGTGCTAAAGCCCAGGAAGTCCCAGGCAAACTGGGACCAGATGAATACCCTCGCGACGGCAGAGCCGTGTAGACCCGACGTCCAGTGGGCAGCAGGTAGCCGGCTCGGGCTGGGCAGCAGGGCAGGGTAATGGGCACTGGACGGAGCCGAGACAGCGCGCGGGGAGGCCAGGCTTGCGTGGGGGGCTGGGGGCAGGGGCCCGGCCGCCGCCCACGCGCGCGCCCCTGTCTGCCCGCACAGACGCAGGAGGCGCAGGTGCTAAAGCAGCTGGCTGAGCGGCGCGAGCACGAGCGCGAGGTGCTGCACAAGGCGCTGGAGGAGAACAACAACTTCAGTCGCCTGGCGGAGGAAAAGCTCAACTACAAGATGGAGCTTAGCAAGGAGATCCGCCAGGCGCACCTGGCGGCGCTGCGCGAGCGGCTGCGCGAGAAGGTGCGCGCCGGGGCGGGGCCCGGAGAACTCCGGACCAGGATCGAGGAGGGGGCGGGGCGAAGGGCGGGAGCAGTGGGTCTTGAGGGGCGGGGCTCCGCGCGGGGGGGCGGTGCCCGGGGCGGGGCGGATCCCGGGCAGCAGGAAGTGGGGGGGCTTCGCCTGCGTTTATTGGGCGCCTGCGGCCTCGGCCTCCGCCCCCAATCCGGTCCTGGTGGCACACGGCCAGTGACCGCAGTAATAAACCGATAGTCATTACTTTTGAAGTGCTGCGAAAGACGCGGGTTTGAGCTAGAAGAGGGGAGGAGCTGCTTTAGGCTGGGGGGCCAGGGAAGCCCCCGGGGGTCCCCCCGTCCTTTGGTGGTCCCTTCCCACTGCACCACCAGCGCTCTCGCAGCCCGGCTGCTCCCTGTCGGGCATGGAGGCAGCCCAGAGTGAGGCGAGGCCCCGCCCTGGCCGGAGCCCCCTTGGAGTAGCCTCTGCTTCAGCCCGTGAGGTGGGACCAGGTTGGTGCCAGGGGGTACCCTGGAGCTTGCAAACCCAAGGAAGTTCCCTGGAGTCACGGCTCGCTCTCTGGTTTGGGTGCCAACCTGTCGCGCTGAGGGCCAGCCCCCTCACTCAGGCCACACTTCGAGGAGAGGACATGGGCCTCCCCCTGCTCTCTGTTGCTCCTCCATCCTGGTCGTTAAGAGGTCCCATTGGTCGCTTCTCCTGCACTTAGGAGGGTCCTTGAAGCCTGGGCGTGGGGGGAGGGGCAGCCCCCCCAGCCGCCACGGCGGGCGCAGGGCCCCGCCCACCTCCACCTGTCCTCGCAGGAGCTGCACGCAGCTGAGGTGCGCAGGAACAAGGAGCAGCGAGAGGAGATGTCCGGCTAAGGGGCTGCGGAGCAGAGGCGCCTGGATCCTGAGAGGAGACATCAACACATGCGGGTTCTGGTTTCGTCTTGTGCCACTTTGTCTAGATGCAACTTTTGCTCCTGCCCCTTCCCTTCCCCGCACTCCCAGCTCCCGCTTCTCTTTCCGCTCTCAACCGTCCAGTCCTCCGCAGGCTCCCCGTCCAGGAGCCGCCAGGGCCTGGCACACAGTCCCTCACTTCAGGCACCAGGCCAGGCAGTGGCTGGGTCCCCTGTTGGTGGCCCTCTCAGCAGATGTGGTGACAACCTCAATAAATCCAGTGGTGGTAGCAGGAACATGTGGGTCCTTATACTGGCTCGTCCTGTGAGCACCTTGTACTTAGGGCACGTCCTCTGAGCCAGCTCCCTGCCGCTGACAGGCAAAGGTGACACCACCTGCAAGGCCTTCAGTGGGAGGGGGGAGGAAGGAAGAACGACCTCTGGGCCATGTGTGGCCAGGTCAGCCATGGTGCCATCTGTGCAGTGGAATGTTTTGGAATGGGTGGGGGGGGGTCCTGAGCCCCCCGGGCCTGGAGGGGGGAACCGGGGGGGGGGGGGGGGGACGTGGCCTGGCCTGAGTCTTCAGGGGAGTGGGCATTCTGCCATGGTCTACAGGGTTGTGGGCTGCACGGACACCTCTTGCTGGCCCCTCCTCCCAGGAGTGCCCGCCTCCTAAGAACGTCTGGCCCAGTACTCATGTGGGGAAAGCCCTCCTCCATCATCACTCCTTTTCTCCCCCTAGGCTTTACAGACCCTTGGAGGACCCCATCTTTAGAGCCCTTTGGAGTCTTGGCCCCTTCCTGTGCCCTCACCCTGGTAGAATGATGCTCCCATGATACTCCGGGCCATGGGGCTTTCAGGCTAACTTCTGGACAAGTGTGGCTAGGTGGGAGTGAGTGGCAGCCACAAGTGCCCCTCAGGGAGCAGACAGCAGGGCGAGTAGGAGACCAGCTGCCTGCAGATTCAGATGTTGGGGGATGGGATTCCCAAACCACCTTCCTACCTAGTCCATCCTTGACTTTCTTGACCTGTACCCCCCGCCCCGGCTCCAGGCCTCTCCTGCCAAGACCTTCCTGGACTGGGCTCCTTCTCCTCCTCCAGATTCCCAGCACTGGCCTTTGAGGACTGTCAGCTGCTGGCCATGGGGGGCGTTCAGTCTTTGGGCCTTGGCAGCCCCATCCCGCAGCTGAGTACTGAGGGCAGGGTCCCTGCTGACCATCCTCTGGGTGGAAAGCATGAGGGGACAGACTGCAAGTTCTAGCAGGACCCAGAGCCAGCACTTCAGAAACCAGGTGGGTGGCAGCCCCCTGGGGCCCCTGGCTTCCATCCTACAGAAATCTATGCCAGTGCACTCCCAGGGCCCAGCCAGAGAGCACAGGTGGATGCTGATCCTCTACCACAGGCTTAGGGGGAAGGAGGGCCCCATGCCCACCCTCCCCACACAGCCTCCGGGGGAGTGACAAGCCAGGATTGGAACCCAGCTGTCCCCCACGCCACTCCTGTGGGACTCAGAAAGGGACACGGAAAGAGAAGGGAGGGCTGGATTTCCTTCAGCAGCGGCCGCTCTCTCATAGTGGAAGCCTAGTGTGATATGTACCCATCTCATCCACGTAGTGAAAGTGAACTTAAAATTAAATCAAATGAATGATTAAAGACAAAAAGCCAAAGCCTGTGTGTTTCGGAAGCGGCTGAACTGCCCCGTGTGCATCCTGCCTCTGTGGGGTCAGAAGGGGCTGCAAGGCCCTTGCTGGAGGGGGCGCGAATGCTAGGTAAGTAGCTAGGGACTGAAGCTGGTTATCAGGCTTGTTCTTATCACAATCGCCGATAGTTCTAATGACAACGGAGGCGTTAAGGAATGAGTGTGTAAATGACACACAAGCCCGTTTTCCCCTCTGGAGCCCCAGGAGACAGTGGGGGTGTGAGGGAGGAGGAGGCAGGGCCCACCGGGCAGGTGCGGCTGTCCCCCCTCTCCCCAGGCCCAAGGCCTCCCGCTGGCCTGGGCTCTGGGCCCCAGGCTGCTGCTAACGGAGAACACATGAGGGTCTGAGGTCCGAGGCTTGTCCTTCTCACTGCAGTGTTCTGTGGGTCTTGCTCAGATGTGGAGTGGGTCCTAGCGGGTCCCAGGGTTGTACTCCGTGGCTCTGTGGCCCCCACTGGGCAGCTGATTGTTCACAGACACAGATCTGGCTCCAAGGTGGGGACCTAGAGTGGCAAAGAGAATAAGCAGACATCCTGACTCACACTGGTGGCCTGCCTGTCCCATGGGACCCAGATAGCCAGTTGGGGTGCCCAGCAGGGACCCCTGTGCTAGGGAGGAGGCACACTTGGCACATGTCCATGCAGGTTATGCTCAGGCCTCCACATGGGCCTCGGGTCCAGGTCCTGGATAGGTGCCTGCTCACTAGGATCCAGAGAGACCCCTCAGCTCTCCCCCACACTCACCGACCTCTCCTGGGGCAGGCGGTCCTGGCTACTTCCCCAGGCTCCAAGGACCTCTCACCATATCCCCTCCTTCCCCTGCCCAGGGAGAGGTGGGAAAGTCAGAATCTAGGACACACAGCCACCCAAAAGACAGAGACCTCAGAAACCTGCAAGAGGAAGAGCTGGGAGAAAGGTGGGAGAGAAAGGGAGTGTGTTGTTTTTATGAGACGTGAGTTCTGCATGCTGGTATCCTGGGCACATGGACACACACCACACACAAGCACATGCCTGGCGTTCCCAGAGGACCAGGCTGATCACAGGCCAGGGCTTACTCTTAGGGGACCCTAAGCAGGCATTAGGGGGCAGACGGCATTTGTAACAGTCACCACGTGGAGCCTCTGACTTGGGCAAGGATGGGGAACCCTTCACAGACAAATCACACTTTCCCTAACAATAAAAAAGCAAAGGTGGGAGTCCTTCTGGGGAGCCAATCCTGTATTATATACGCTGTGTCACAAATTACCTCAAGTGGTGGCTTAGAACATCACTCCTTATCTCACCACGTCCTTAAATCAGGAATTCAGGAGCTGGGCAGTCGGGCTCAGGGACTCTCCCGAGGTTGCAGTCAGGACGTTGGCTGAGGCTCTGGTCCCCCCAAAGCTGGACCAGAGTGGAGGATCCTCAAGTCAGCTCACCCACACAGAGTCAGCAGGCGGCCTTGGTCCTCCTGCGTGGTCGCTCCCCAGGGCTGCATGGGCGTCCTCGGCCCGTGGCTGCTGGCCCCCCAGGGCGAGCTGTCAGAGAGGGAGAGGGGGCAGAGTCCCACGCATTCTCCATGTCAGAAGCACGTCACTGAGAAGAGCCAGCACTCAAGAGGAGGCAGACTCCCCCTGTGATGAAAAGAATCCGTGGGCATATTTTATTATTTTTTTATTTTTTTTAAAGATTTTATTTATTTATTTGACAAAGACAGAGACAGCGAGAGAAGGAACACAAGCAGCGGGAGTGGGAGGAGAAGCAGGCTTCCCGCTGAGCAGGGAGCCCGATGTGGGGCTCCATCCCAGGACCCTGGGATCATGACCTGAGCCGAAGGCAGACGCTTGATGACTGAGCCACCCAGGCGCCCCAGTGGGCATATTTTAAAACCACATCAGACGTGCTGCCTTGAGTGACTTTGTGTGTTCTGGACACAGCTGGTGTTCACTCAGTGTGTGGGGGCTGCAGTGGGCCCCCAGCCCCCAAATACGGCATCTAGCAGCACCGGCCAGATGGTAGCCCAGAGAGCTGTCTATCCCACACAGGCCCCCTGCCGCTGTCCCACGCTTCCTGCCGGGCAGGCTCAGGGGAGGTTCTCTCCCTCTTTGCTGAAGATGTGTTGCTAGTTCACATTTCTAGCCATGTCCCAGGACTGCTGTGACAACTGCTACACGCGGGGGGCTTAAAACATCAGCAACACGTTCTCTCGCAGTTCTAGGGCCAGAAGCCCCAAATCGAGGTGTCGCAAGGCCGTGCCTCCTCTGAAGCCTGTACTGCAGGGTCATCTTGGCCTCTCCTAACTCTCGCTGTCAGGAAAGGTGGTCTTTCCACCCCAAACAAAACCACTTAGCAATGGGCTTTGGGCCTGGAACCCTTCTTTCCAACAAATAAGGAGCCCACAGAACTTGTACAGGACATCTTTCCCTGCCGTAAGGTCCGTGAGCGATCTGTTGTCCTGTTGTCGTGCTTGGGTGAACACCCCCAGGTGAGTGGCCTAGGTGAGCACCCTCGGTGAGCGCCCCAGGTGAGCACCCCAGTGAGCACCCCCAGGTGAGGACCCCAGGTGAACACCCCCAGGTGACCACCCCCAGGTGAGCGGCCTAGCTGAGCACCCTCAGATGAACACCCCCAGGTGACCACCCCAGGTGAGCACCCTCGGTGAGCACCCCCAGGTGAGGACCCCAGGTGAACACCCCCAGGTGACCACCCCAGGTGAGCACCCTCTGTGAGCACCCTCTGTGAGCACCCCCAGGTGAGTACCCTAGGTGAGCACCTTCAGGCATGCCCCCCAACTTTCAGTACTCAGACTCCAGCGGGTTGGGTCTCCCCACTGCAGCACAGGAGGGGTGCGTGCACAGGGACCAGCTGCCCAAGCAGACCTTGTGCGTCTCTTCCTTGCATGAGTAAAGCTGCTCTGTCAGCACTTGACTGTTTCACGTTTTCCTCGGCAACTCCAAGGCCAGGAGTGGGCAAAAGTGTTGGGACTCTTACCCCAGGTGGCTGGTGCTGTGATGAGCTTTGCTCTCCTCCACTTGGCGGCAGGGGTCCTTCCCTGGGATTGGGGACCAGAGCTGGTGTTCTGCAGGACACTTGCAATCTTTGGCATCCGTTGTCTTGTGCATGTGTCATGCCAATCTCTGTGGTCACATGGCCGCCTCCCCTTTTTGTGTGTTAGTCTCTGTGGGACACCAGTCATTGGATTGGGGCCCCCCTAACCCAATATGACCTCATTTTAGCTAATTATACCTGCAACAACCCTATATCCAAATAAGGTTCATTCTGAGTTACTGGGAATTGAGATGTCAACGTTATCTTTGGGGGACATGATTCAACTAAAAACAGAAGCT